CATATTCCTGTAATTTAAAGATTATTCTTCTTGTCTCTGCTTATTAAATACCTTACATGTTCTTTCATTCTTTTGTTTCTCTTTTCTTTTTTGACTTCCTTATCAATGCTGGCCTGTATTTTGTCTTTAAGTTGGTCTATATGGTTCTCCCCCTGTGACATTCTACTAAGGGTTGCTAGTATATTATTTTTTATTTATTCGTTTATTTATTTATTTTCTCTTTTGGGTCACACCTGACGATGCACAGGGGCTACTCCTGGCTCTGCACTCAGGAATTACTCCTGGCGATGCTTGGGGAACCATATGGGATGCTGGGGAATCAAATCTGGGTTGGCCGCATGCAAGGCAAATGCCCTACCTCTAGTTATTGATTAAATTCACTGTAAACTGCTTGATTAATTTCTTTTGCCAGTACAGTAAGTGTTGACTTTAGGCCCTCATTGACCAGAATCAATGTTTTGATTGGTTTGGGGTCTTGCCTGGGTTAATATCTCTATCTGTGACTGTAGCTGAGTGCCCTAGTTTGCCCAGTGTTCTTTGAGTTTTGTGGATGTTAATGGTGAAGGTTTAGATCCCAGTCACTTGAGTACTAATCTATTCAATTGTTTATGTCAGATGGCTACTAATACTACATCTGCTGTTCAGGATATTTTCCTTACTGTACAGTGTTTGCTTACACCCTCTGAAATGTCAGCTAGTTTCTTAGCTGAGTTGACTGAGATTCAAGGTTGTACACTCTCTGGAAATAGGAATGCCACAGTCCACCTGGCCCTAGTATAAGAGAGATATATTTAGTAATGCCTTTGCCCAGATATGCTATCATCTGAGCGGATTTGGATTTAGAGGACAAACTGATGTGAACTGGGACCAGTCCCTGGTCTGAAGGCTGGTCCAACAGCACAGGAAAGAAGGATAGAGTCCCTAAACTTGCACGCATGGGACTACGTGGGAATTCAGGATGAGGAAGGGCAACTCCAGCCTCCACAGATCTCACAGAAGCAAAAAGTGTAAGAACATCCCCATATACCTATAGTACTTCTAGATTGTAAAGAAGCAGCGTATTGAGTTCCAGTTTATTCCCTTACACTTGTCTGAACTGGATTTAATTGATGATATCCCACATGGTCTCCAGAGCTAGCCTGGTGAGTTTCTTTCTTTGCAATAAGCATCCCCATCTTTCCAATTCTGAGTTCGAGTATCTTTACTATTCAATATTTTCATTATTGAAAACTTGGAGGAACCTGGAATCCTTGGATGAATAACCTCCCTCTGCCTCCATCTGTGCATCCGAACTGAGGCTAGGACTGATTTTCCTTTCCTTCAAGGAGCAACTCCTTGTCCCAGCCTAAGCCCATGACTCCTGAGAAATTGGGTGGCAGAGATCATCTCCCATGCTGCTCCGAAAAAGTGAACATCAGGCTCAGTTTTACAGCTGCCTCATAAGGATGGTAGGATGTGAACACATGCTGTGCAAGGACTCATAGCAGACTTTCATTGGTTCTAAATCTTCTAGTTGCCTCCCTGGGTGACAGATCTGGACATAGAAAAAGAGGTAGATTTCCATCTCGAGCTTGCTGTCTCTTTCCTCCCTACTACACATAAGTCACTCAGAGACCCTCCACAGGCAACAGAACAAACTCTGCAAAGGCAAATGGTCACTTATCCAGAGTTGAAGGTGGAGTGACCCACATCTCCACCTAAAATGTGAACTCTGGTTTCACCCCTGGAGAAGCCCAGATAGTCTCTTAAATACATATCTTTCTTTTCTCTCTTGTGGTTTTTTAAATAAACAATTTTACTTCAATATTAATTTTACCCTAAAATTCCTTTTTGTGAGGGTAGACAGACTTAGAAAGTCTAGGTGAGATTTGGGACTCACTTTCCATTCCTATGAAGAGCAATTCCTCCCTCCCATTTGGATCACACAGCTCCCTGGGAAATAGTGTGTCAGGGATCATTTCCCAAGCTGGGTAGAATAAGTAAAACCCTGGTGCAGTTTGAGGACCATCTCCTGGGATTGATACAAAGTAAGGCCTGGAGAAGGCAGGTGCTCACAAGAGACTATCATCAGTCCTTTCTTGAGGTTGTTGCTTGTCTCCTCTCAACTTAAGTCTCAAACAATATTCTCTCACCTCCTCCCCAAATTAAGGGTGAAAGGTGGTGACATAACATTAATTAGAATGTAAAAACTCAAAGTCAAAGATTATAACTTATTGCCCTAAATTCTCTTAGAAACCACCTTACCAATAATATACCAGCAACTCACATACTTTATTTTCTTAGCCTTAACTCAATCTTAGCTTTCTTGCCTTAGCAAAAGATGCCTCCACTAAACAGGAAAACAGATGTATTAATAGTTTTCTTGTAGGTAGAAAGATAGGAGGGCCCTGGGAATATGTATTGAGAAAAATATTCTCAAAACCTAAACTAATGCAAAGGCATGAATGCATTTGATACATAATACCCATATTAGAAGTCAGGATGCAGAATTCCAGGCCAGCTGCAGGGATGGCTTCCTGGGAGGAGAGCAGCAGGAACCCCTGGGAGGAGAGGTTCCAAACCAGGGACAAAGCCCCATGCAATGTGTATCAAAATATCATCAGCTACACCAAGCTCTCCTTCTTGGCAACCTCCATAGTTGGGGCGGGCAGATTGAGAGGGAAGGGTTGGGGCAGCTTGGAAAAAAGTATATAACTTGGCAGAGGAAAAGGGGTCCTTGCCTCTTGGGCCCACATCTGCACAAGATGTATACTTTTTTTAGGGTACATTGCTGCATTCTGTGGAAATGGCCTGAAATTCCTGCTTGGAATGTTTACTTTCATTTTCTTCCACTCTGGAGAAGCCCGTGTTCTCTCTTGAACATGTGTCTTTATCTGTTTCTCTCCTTTATCTACTTCCCTTCCCTTTTTTACTTTCCAAATAAATGTGTTATTATTTATTTGTCTATTTGTCTCTTGAGACTCTTCTCTGTGAACAAAAGGCAATAGACCTAAAAAGCCTGGTTAAGATTTTGGATTGAATTTCCTTTCCTTCAAAGAGAAATTAATCTTTCCAGACTGGGTTCCATGGCTTCCTAGAAAGATGTTGCCAGGGATCATTTTCCACATCAGGCAGAACAAGTGGAAGAAAGGTACAATTTGATGACTACTTTCCAGGACTGGTGAGATGTATGTGAACTTTCATCAGTCCTAGATTACCCTTGGCCCTTCTCTGGTGACTGAGGTGGGTAGAGAGGGAATCAATATATTACCATGCACATACTCTCTCCACCACATTCATCTATTGTCTACCCATCTCCCTTCCCCAAGAACTCCAACAAACCTCCCTCTCAATCTGCCCACCCCAACTTAGTTGTGTGGATCAGTTCTCCCAATTGTGTTGTTTTTGGTCCTCTGTGCCTACCTTACTATAAGTTCCATTTATGAAAGAAATAATTCTGTATCTATCCCTTTCTTTCTAACTGACTCTATTCAGCATGATCTCCTATAGTTTCAGTTAAGTAATTGTTGGAGCCTTACCAGAGTCATGAGGAAGGTCCAGGGACACTGCCTTGCAAACAAGGTCTTGTGATAGCTGCAAACAGCTAGGAACTTTGAGCGAACTGGGTAGCGGTCAGCATGTCCCAATCAGCTGCTCCATGTTATAGATTAACTGTGTTATGCTTGGATGAAAGTTAAACAAATACCTTTGGGCTATTGTGTAAGCTTGCATAGATTTTGATGTAGAATGTATGGGAAGTGGAATGTAAAGATTTACAAGGTGGTCTGATTTCCTTCGGTAGGAACATTGCGCATTATTAGGCTACAAGATGATATGTGCTTTAAGAGGTTTCAATTTCCTGTATTTTTATCTTATGTACTCTGAAGGATGCTAGATATTTTGATCGTTAATCCAATAAAAGGAGGCTGAAAAAGCTGATCAGTGCTAAATGACCTGAGCGAGCCTTAGCCCTCCATGCTTCAACATTCCACATGTTTTGCTTCAACATTTCACAAGTCTTGCTTGTCTCTGTGCCACTACTGATCGCTCAATCGAGAACTAACAGATAATGGGAAATTGCATATTTATATCCTTCTCAGTAGTGCATAGTATTCTATTTTGTATATATATATATATATATATATATATATATATACCACAACTTCTTTATTCATTCATCTGTAATTGGGTATTTAGGTTATTCCCAAATACCCAATTTGGGTTGATATTATTCTAAGTGCTGCTCTGAATACTGAGTGTGCATATACTCTTTTGAATTAATGTTTCTGTTTTTGAGATAAATTCTAAGATGTGATACAACCGAGTAATATGGAAGTTCTATTCCTCTATTTTGAAGATATCTTCGTATTACTTTCCATAAAGTTTGAACCAGAACAACAGTGGATGAGGGTTGGTATTTCTCATCATATTTCCATCAATACTAATTGTTTCCAGATTTTTGATATGTGCCATTCTCGCAGGTATGCTTGTGAGATGATATCTCAATGTTGTTTTGATCTACATTTCTCTAATCATGAATGATGATGAATGCTTTTGCAAATGCCTCTTGGTCATCTGTATGTCTTCTTTGGAAAAATAATCATCTCCTAACCCCATTTATGAATGGGATTGATTGTTGTTGTTGTTGATATTTATGTGTGTATTATAGATCTTTGATATTAGCCCTTTATCTGATGTGCTGTGTGACTATTTTTTTTCCATTACATAGGGTGTCTTTATGCACAAACAAGAGTTTCAGTTTGAATCTTCTAAATTATTTAAGGGCTCAAAATGAAAAAATCTTTTTGCATACTGAAATTCATTTTTTTAAATAACTAAGTCTATAGTTAGACATATTTTGTGTATTTGTATGCATGATATAAGGTATTGTTTATATACCAAGACTATATGATTTCCAATACTAACTCCACAAGAAAACTATTATTACATCCACATTATGAATGAAAAGAATATGACTCAGAAATATCTTTATTCAGTTTCAAATACCTCAATAGTTTGCTTTATCAAAAAGTTGAAAATACTATCTCTATAGAAAGTCAACTTCCAGATTTTAATTTAGTTTTTTTTTTCCATAAAAGTCTGATGTACTAAATTTTACATACTTCAGTTTAACTACATTTCAATCTTACCTCTCTATGGCACATACAGAAACAAACTAATGTATTTTATTTTTGTTCTGTTATACTGTTCAAGTTGCAATATCTGGTGCAGTAGTTGCATGACATAATTAATGAGGCAATGTACTAAAACAATTTCATAGAACAAAATGACTCCATGTGAAATTACATACTCTCTTGTGAGTGAGGTCCTGGAGAGACCAGGAAAAGCAAAGAGTGCTACTGATACATTTCCTCTCCTTGTTTCCATTTGAGAGTGAATACAGAGAGGACTCCAAACCCCTAATTTCTAATACATTCTCTAAATTTCATGGCCTCTCCTAAGGTTCTCTCATTCAAAAGGGGAAGAAATAGGGGCTAGAGAAGCTCAGTGCTTTTCTTAACCCTAGGGCACACAAGAATACTTCGGGGTTCAGTGAATCATCCTTTTTTAGACTTATCTGCTTAGAAATATACAGGAGCCTTATTAATTCTATATTAAAATACGCCTTAATAGCACAGGAGAGTCTCTATGGATCTATCAGAGCTTAATATGGGCAGACAAAACAAATTCCACCTACATTTAAAAGACTCTAAATATGCCTGTGATTTCTATTCCATTCCTTACTATTGTTATTAACCTATGTAAGAAAAATATTTGGGTTTCTCAAAAAATGTATTATTGTCTCATTAAAATACATTACCAAGAAATTTCCATTTCTCCCCCTTGACAGGAGAATTGTTATCTTTTCTATCTCTGCTATCATTCTTCATGAATTTAATTTTTGGAGAAAAAATTTGCATTTAAAAGCAGCATTTAAAATTTTTTAGATTAAAAATTCTCCCAACTCATTTCTCTGTTATGCTTTAATTAAATTAATTATTTGTTATTCAAGGATAGAATTCACACTCAAGGTAAGTACTCTGCTTGTAAGACACATCCCTAATATTGTCATAACTTTTGAGAGTTAAAGTGTTAGCTTATTTCTTAGTTTTTTTAAAATTCTGCTGTTATGAAAAGAAATAAAAGTGAAAATAGACATATTACTATCACTGATGCCTGAATTAAGAGGGGTAGGTGTTGAGAACACAAGGAAGAGAAAATTAACCTTAGCTATGATAAAAGAGAATTGTCTATATTCAATTGTTTCTGTGTTACTGGATGTGAAACAATAAAATTATCTAGCAAGGAGATAAGTTGCACTATAGCATAAAGGGACATAATCCTATTCATCCTTGAGATTAAAGACAGAATAAGATTTCTATGAAAATAATTAAAATGATGATTTATTGCTTTCTAGGAAATACTGTATCAGGCACAATGGATAAGAATACTGGGTAGATTCCCCCAAAGCTCTCTATAGTATACAACAACTAAAAATTAAGACAATTCAGCATTTTGGGTAAAAGTTATAAGGTTTTTGCACTTCTTCAGGAGATACAGCACCCTATGTTTCAAGAAGAGATGAGAAGACAGAAGAATACATGAAAGAAAAGAAATATGATTATCTGGGTTAGAAAATTGTGATAGGTCATCTAGCATCATCCATTCTTCTCTTCTTGTAGAAGGGCAGTGTACCTGCAATAAGAGAGTTATGAGACTGATGGTGCAAAGAGCTCCATTGTCACTTTTAAGCCATTTTTAAATTCTCATCTATCCACATTTGAGTCAACAAACCTCTTCTTACTTTTAAACCATAATTCTGTTCAAACCCTTCCCACTCCTCTGACTCTCTTTCTTCTCTGTGTATGTACTTTATGCAACTCAAGTTCTGATATTCTGGAGGAATCCTCCCAAGATCTACTATTGTGAGTCTACTAGAGCTACAGACACTGGTGATGTAGAAGCCATGCGGTACTATTGACAGAACAAGGGGCCACGCGTATGGAAAGAATGCACTCTATCCATTTGAGTTACATTCATGACCAAAATTCTTACAAATATTCTTTTTTTTTCTCTTTCCTTTTGGGTCACACCTGGCAATGCACAGATGTTACTCCTGGCTCATACACTCAGGAACTACTCCTGGAGGTTCTCTGGGTACCATATGGGATGCTGAGAATAGAACCCAGGTTGGTCACTGTGCTATTGCTCCAGCTCCTCTTCCAAATATTCTTACAAATATGAATCCTCACAAAATGAATTCTTACCTTCATTTATAGGGTGCATCTCATAAAGGTCCTTGAGGTCTAGAGGCACTACCTGAGCGCCGACCTCGGATGATGAAGATGGTGCCTGCCATGATGCCCACAAGGCCCACACTTAGCCCCAGGGCGCAGATCACATTCTCTGTCACCTCTGACATTGGAGCTGGAACCTCCAATTCTATAAAAAGAAAGTTGTGGGAGTCAGAATACAACGTGCTGGCTCATGTCTTTAGGTGTGGAATGGGACAAGAGGGCAGGCATTAATTCCAGACAGACTCAGGGTACAAGATTTTGGCAAGAAAGAATGATATGATTTGAAATCCTTGATGTGTTTAAAACAATCCTCGAATCTTAAAATTTATAGGGTAAAGTCAGTATTTGTTAGAGAAAAAAGCAGATGCCAAAATGGGTAGAACTCACACATACCCCAGTGTTTCAGAAGCGGCTTGTCCAGGCCCCAGTGTTCCACCTTGCAGTCATAAACATCATCCTCAGAAGGGATCAAGATGAGGTAACTTATCTTGAGGAAGGAGTGATCATCTTTGTTAAGGAAGCTAGTTTCAGAAACACCCTCTTTAACTGACTGTCCATTGCGCAACCATGTAATGTTGATCACAGGAGGGAAGATGTTGTCCACAAGACACATGAGGACGTTGGCCTCACCTGGCATCGCATGAGACTTGGGAAGGACAGTCACTTCAGGAACATCTATGGAAAGGAAAAAGGATTTTTATGAATTTCAAATAGTTCTATTATGAGGTTCTTGGTTTGAGGCTCCTCGTGTTCCTGGAGCGAGCAGATGCCATTGGGCTACACTAGAATGCAATAGGGACAAATGGAGATGCTACTGGTGCCCACTTGAGCAAATCAAAGATAAATGGGATGACAAGTGATACAAGTGATGAGGTTCTTATTGTGTCCTGGTTCGGGGGCCCACTATTTCCATGACTGTGAATGAGGTATTTTCCTCCTTCTAACTGGGAAACAATGAACAACGCATGTACTTTTTTCTCCATGTCTTATGTAGGTTTGTGTGTTATGGATATAAAACTTCCTTTAAGGATCCAAGGATTGCTTAATGGGAGTAAGAATCCTTTATCACATGGAAGTGTATTATTTTGAGATGGGAAGAAATGAAGGTTCAGTAATTACCGTGAGTAAATCTGGGGACTCATTAGCAAAGGAAAAAATTTTTTAGAGTAATACTGTGGGGAAAAGGGAGTAGGAGCTAATTCTAAACAGTGATTTGCTTAAGGAAAGCAGTATTTGGTGATATACATACCATTGGTGGCTGTAGTACCATTGAGACGTTTTATCATGACATTTAGGTTATGCTTTATTGTAGCTATACTTGCCAGACCACCCTGAGGGTCAAAACCTCCAAATTGACTAAATTCAGGCTTCCTCCAGATAGTTTCTTTCTTGTCCTGGTCCACATAGAACTCCTCGTCTCCATCAAATTCAAAGGTGTACTGGCCAGAGGAACCATAACTCTCATAGAATACTGAACCATAGACACCAACGTGGTCAGCTGATGAGGATGGGAAGAAACAAGAAGTGGAAAACATAGATAAAATTATTAAAATAAATCCAAGGACAGAGCGACTGTCATTTTTCCGCTCAATGCTAAAGTGATGCTTTGCATAGGTAAACTCTGGGATTTATCTCCAGCACTATCTCCCCAGTCATCCATAGTCGGGGAATCAAAGAAGTGGATTCAAATAACTTCTTTCATCCTTAGAAGTGTTCCATCTAAATACCATTTATCTTTCCATCACAGGTGTCCTAAGAAGGCACAATTTCACAGATTTTCTCACTGTTATTCCTTGCATAACCTGTTCATTGCCTAGAATATGATAAAATTATGCTAATGATATAATTGCTTTTGAAATTAAAAGTAAGTAAGTAAAGGCCCTCCCGTTGATCATCGATTTGCTCGAGCGGGCCCAGTAACGTCTCCATTGGAGACTTTGTTGTTACTGTGTCTGGCATATCGAATACGTCACGGGGAGCTTGCCAGGCTCTGCCGTGTGGGCGAGATACTCTCGGTAGCTTGCCGGGTTCTCCGAGAGGGGAGGAGGAATCAAACTCGGGTTGGCCATGTTGGCTGCGTGCAAGGCAAACGCCCTACCGCAGTGCTATCGCTCTGCCCGCCGTCGTGCGCTTTTGAAATTATACTTCCTTATTCAGAAAAAATGTGGAATGAACAAATAATCATGATTTCAACTTTTTCCCCCAGAGAACTGTTTTGCTTCCCTCTGACTCATAACTTTTCTTTCTCAATTCTTTCATAAATTAATAACACATACATGATTATTCCTCTCTCCTTTGGACTTAGAAACAATATTTTCTATTTCCTTCCTTCCTTCCTTCCTTCCTTCCTTCCTTCCTTCCTTCCTTCCTTCCTTCTTTCCTGTTTTTAATCAAGAAACGAACAAAGGATCTTATTACTTTAAATTTCCTTTAGCTTCTATACAAAATAAGAAATAACATCACAAGGACTGTGACAATAACATAGGTAAAGGTAAAGGTAAAGGCCCTCCCGTTGATCGTCGATTTGCTCGAGCGGGCCCAGTAACGTCTCCATTGGAGACTTTGTTGTTACTGTGTCTGGCATATCCAATACTCTCGGTAGCTTGCCGGGCTCTCCGAGAGGGACGGAGGAATCGAACTCGGGTCGACCATGTTGGCCGCTTGTAAGGCGAACGCCCTACCCGCTGTACTATAAAAAGCAAATAAATGTGGAATTGGGGGGGAGAGAGAGAGTGAGAGAGAGAAATTCCTAGACTATCATTCAAATCCTGCACTCTGTACAGTTCCCTAAAGCACTGCTAGGTGTGGCATCTCAGTACAGACCCAGGTGTGGGCACAAATTTGAATGTGTTCCTTGAGCAGTGCAGGACATAGCTCTTGAGCAGAGTCAGGGGGTTCAGTCTTTGAAGGTGTGGCCATTCCTTCCTCCTCCCTCAAAAGTAAATGATTGTTTTTAAATCTCTTCTTTGAACTTATTTTTCCTTCCTTCCTTCCTTCCTTCCTTCCTTCCTTCCTTCCTTCCTTCCTTCCTTCCTTCCTTCCTCCTTCCCTCCTTCCCTCCCTCCCTTCCTCCCTCCCTCCCTCCCTCCCTCCCTCCCTCTTTCTCTCTTTCTCTCTCTCTCTCTGTCTCTCTCTGTCTCTGTCTCTCTCTGTCTCTTTCTGTCTCTGTCTCTCTCTCTCTCTCTCTCTCTCTCTCTCTCTCTCTCTCTCTGTCTCTCTCTCTGGCAGATCCTGGTACTGCTCAGTGCTTACTCCTGCTTTGTACTAGGCACCATTCCTGGGTGAGCTGGGAGACTGAACACAGGTCAGCAACAAGGCAAGCTGCCCTGCCAGCTGTGTTATCTCTCTAGCCTCTAGTCTGTGCTTTGGTAACAATGGAGAGAACATCCTGATTACTTATCAAAGTAAATGTGAAAACATTATTAGACTTTGGATTTCTTTTATTTTCACCACTTTTATTTTTCTAGTAGGTTGATACTTTCCTTTTTCTGATGTTGCACTTATATTCCTGGGGTGTTCAAGGTGAATTCTGATACTTTTCCGTAAGTGAAACAATGCTTATTGAGGACATCAAAGGCAGCCAGTGTGGTATGATTCCACTCAGTCTAAGTGGAAAATGTGTTGATACATAGGAGACTTTCACCATTTCCTCTTTCTTGTTATTCTAATTTATTGAGCACCAATGAGGTGTAAGACATGGTGAAAAAAAAAAGGAGTAAAATACCAATAAGATTCATCTGTGCTATCCATCTAATTCAAGAAACTTATTCAATGTAGGGAGTGTTAGAAAAGTAAGTACAAATACAGTGCCCTATGTTAATGAGGCATATGTGGTGATATAACATTTATGAAGCCATATCTATAGTCTAATAGTCTAGTGCAAAAACCTATCCATTCTTACTCCTCAGTCTTTGAAGGGATCTGTTTTTATTTTCCTTGTAAACAATTGTATTTTAGGATCCTTGACATCTTTAATACATTCTTGAAGCTTTCACTTACCAACTTTTTAGCTACTCTTTCATTAAACATGTTTCTGACCACCATATAACCTCTACCAAAAAGCCTGCACCCCAATGTCCTGATCTCCTACTTTGCGTAGTTCGTTACCAGATTCACTCTCTTCCTTACCCACCATGATTTCCTTAGTCAGTAACTTGAAAGGCCCACCAAAATCTTTATTATATTTATAATGTATCTTCTTGACACAATTTTTAAAACATGGATACAAGCAACAATTCTTTTCATCCTATAATTGTCCCGAGCTCGCACCTAGTCAGAAATGTTACACTACTCAATTAACTGGAATAGATTTGTCATTTTAGTGTTAGTCTCAACCATTGTTTTATAATGTTCAGTATAGGCAATATCCTTGCGGTTTCTGCACCATATTCCATCCACCAGGAATCTGAGCAAAAACTATGGAATGAATAGCATTATTTTTAATATTTGAATCCACAAAAGATCTTACTGACTACCAAAATATGGCACATTCAGTGTAAATTGCTACTCTTGAGGATCACAAAGATTCTGGGGAAAATGGCAGGCATGGAGGTAGCAGAAGATATAAATAGTAAAATCAGCAATGATAAGAGTGAATTATGACTTTTGATTGTTTATCTCTGTGGTTCTTAAAGACTTCTTCCACCATAGAAGTATAAAAAGTCATACTTCATAACCATGTGGGTATAAAGATTCATGATATATTAAAAATTAAAATATCTTTAGGTGGGGCTGGAGCAATAGCACAGCGGGTAGGGCGTTTGCCATGCAGGCAGCCGACCTAGGTTCGATTCCCAGCATCCCATATGGTCCCCCGAGCACCGCCAGGAGTAATTCCTGAGTGCATGAACCAGGAGTAACTCCTGTGCATCGCCAGGTATGACCCAAAAAGCAAAAAACTAAAAAATAAAATATCTTTAGGGGAAGAGATAAAGCAGGTAAGACACTTGTCTTGCATGCTATTGACCTGGGTTTGATCCCTGACACCTCATATAGTACTCTGAGTCCTGCTAGGAGTGATCCTTGAACTCAGAACCACAAGTCAGCCTTCAGCACTTTTGGGTGTGGCCAAGTGTGGCCTACAAAACAAAATGAAACCAAATTACAATATTTTCTTCTAAGCTAAAAATTTTTCTTCTATTAAAAAAATTGAGGCATTTTGTGGTTCCTATAAGCACCACAGTCCCTCAGCACTGTGTGCTTAATTTGTATACTGGGGGATTATCAAGCATTAGAATGGGGGCCATCATGGTTACTAAAGTTGTGAAGGGCATTGTAAATTCATTTCACTTTCCTAAAGATACTAAGCTTTTCTGTTTTGGTTTTTATAAACTTATCTTGGTATCTGTACAAAGGAAAAAGTATCAGAGAAGAATAGTGGCAGGAAAGGAGGGTACAGGATTGTATGAAGAGAGAGTTGAAAGATTTGATCTTTCCCAAGTTTATAGGGGATCAAAAAATGAATCAATTTTTTATTCTTGTTACAGAACTTCCTAGGATGGTTTAAGACATAAATTAAACTGACAATTTTAGAAAAACATTTTAATTCATGAAGGTTTTCATCATAAAGTTCTAAATTCTAAAATAAAAATTGAAGTGTTTATATTTGTAAAAAAGCCTATTTTAGCAATAATTTCGAATAATAATCATTGAAATATGCTAAAATATATATACATAACTATTTTAGATATTTGTGATGTGATACATATGAGACAACTGAGACCAAGGACCATGACTAGTTCAAAGGCATTCAGGTGACTCCCTTTGTCATTTCATATCTATACAGTACACATAATTATTGAAAATATTTACCCAAAGATCATTCTATAAGAAAAATATGTAAAAAGTTTGTTTCAGAAGTTGGTCAGAGAAATTTGGAAGCACTAGTTCATGAAATTTAACAACAAATCTTCATTCATTTATGTAAACATCACTATTGCTTGAGGGAAATCAGGGAAAAATGCACAGACAGCTCCAAGGTGTATTCACTACCTCCAACATCAAAAACAGGAAAAAGTCCGTAGTGAATTCTGTAAAAGCCCAGGTAGCAAAGAGAGTGGGTTAGAATTCTGGTTTTCTGAAAGGCTATCCTTAATTTTTAGATTGCCTTAAAATTGAGAATCTTTTTGAAGAATATTTACTAGTTCTCTACCAGTCTTTTTCCCTTTCCAACTTCCTGCTTTTCAACTGTAGTACCCTTCACCCTCAGGTGTGTACTCACCCTTAATGTCTTGGCTTCCACAGGGGCTCAAAATGGTGGCCAGAAAGAGGACCCCCGGGATCAAAGCTCTCCTTAGAATCATTCTCTTCTTTAAAGAGGTCCAAGTAGTTGCTCTAATGAATTATATATATATATATATATATATGAAGAGCAATGGTGAGGACTAAACTGAAAGAAAATTCAAGATACTTAAACCCAAGCCTCTCCAATCAGGTTCTGGCCAATAGGAAAAATCCTCTGCGATGACATCTCAGTTGCCAGTTGAAGACTGTGTACAAAGAGACCTGAAATGATTGGGAAATCCCCTGGTCTCCTTTAAGTTCTAGATACTTAGAGTGGGTCTCAGGCAATTTTCTATGAAAGAAAGGGCTGTTATATCAGAATTTCCTTATAAGTGTGTATATGTGCTGGGGACAGAGGGGTGGGAATTTCTGAGTAGCTTCATATAAAATAATGTCGACACTATTATACTCCTTCAAGTTTTTCTGGTTCACAACCTTCAAGAATGCTCCCCTTTAGTAGTCCTCTTTTCTTGAAGTCTCTATACTCCATTTTCCCTGGCTTCCATATGTCAGTTGCTTTTCTCTTGCCTCTATATTGTACATTTAATTCTTTAAATTTTGAATTACTGCTCACCAAGGGGTACCTCTGCTGTCTGTAACCAGGGTAGCTTTGCCTTGTCTTTTATAAATATTGGTGAGCAGTTACTTTACTCTCAAAAGCTTCAATATGTGCACTCAGGTCAACAAAAGAACTTATAATATCATGTAATTCTGTTTATTCAGTTACTGATTTAATGATCCAAATCTGGTTCAGATGAATTTACATTCCTTATCATCGTTCTTCTTTTTTGTTGCTATTGTTGTTTTGGGTCATATACAGCAGTCTCAGGGCTTACCTCTGGTTCTGTGCTCAGACATCATTCTGATGGAACTTCAGGGACCATTAGGGGTCCAAGGATGGAACCAAAGTTGACAAAAACTTACCTGATGCACTAATTCTCTGGCCACTAGCCCTCTTTACCATGAAAGAAAATTTGGAAACATTGGTTACATTAAAGTAAGTTATGGCTTATTTAATTACCCTATGGTTTTATTTTTTAACAAAAAATTTTGGCAAATATCGGAGGTGATTTGGAGAAATTGCTATAAAAATATATTTTCTTCCTCACAAACATACTAGATATTTTTATATTCTCTATCCTGGCACATTAAAGCGAAGGGCAGTTATCACAGGAGACATTTGTTTGAATACAATTTTTTCTGTGTAGTATGGAAGTCACAAGTTAGTAGTGGATAAGTCACCCTGTTCCTGTGGGTTTCTTAGCACTCTGCCTTACCTCCAGGTAACAAACTGATTGTAAAGAAGAGTGAGACAAAAAAAAACCCTGAGCATTTGGGAATAATTAACCAGACTTTGATATTTCCAGGAGTTGGCCCGTGGCACAAATTCAGAAAGGTATAGAATGTGAGAATATGAGACACTGTGGGAAGAGAGGGGTGAGGAAAAGATTTTTCCATGAGCTGAACACCTAACAATCTCCAGGGCAAGGGTTGTGCCAACCAGCCAGTGTGGAAGAAATATAAATCCTTATCTAGTAAACCTTTACTTCCTGCTTCTGTGACCACATTTACAGAGGGCTAAGAATATTTAAACTTTAGTTCTTGGGACAGACTGGATATGAATCCTCCCAGTCAATACTGACCTGCTCCATGAAACTGCTTCCTGAGTAAACCTGATGCCATACTCTCTTGCTGGAGGATTCTATAACAGCTTGATACTCACAGCTAGGTTTTGTGTTTTCTTGTAATACATATATAATTCTGCAGAGTAGTACTATCAGACAGCTACTCTGTAACCACCATGAACCAAAATAGAAAACAAGGCCACTTGGTAATCATGCCGGATTTACAGAGATAAAAATAAAGCATTATCTAAATCACAAAAATGTGATTTTTGTGATAGCAGATCACAAATATATATATATATATATATATATATATATATATATATATATGGGGCTGCAGTGATAGCAGAGTGGTAGGGCATTTGCCTTGCATGCAGCCAGCTCGGTCAAACCGGGTTCGGTTTCTTCACCCCTCTTGGAGAGCCTGGCAAGCTACTGAGAGTATCTCACCCATACAGCAAAGCCTGGCAAGCTAACCATGACGTATTCAATATGCCAAACACAGTAACAACAAGTCTCAAAATGGAGACTTTACTGGGCCCACTTGAGCAAATTGATGAACAACAGGACAGTGACAGATTATATATATCTGTTGCTGTGTTGAGATGATCTTCTGTACCTTGTGTTTCTCAATGATGACATCAAATGGACTATAGAGCAAAGCTGGAGAACCTAGAGTATTAACACAAAGTGACCTTTGCCTAGTCACCATATAAAATATATGGACATTTCTTGATTTTGAGCAGGCCACATTCTAGGTTTCCTTCAATCCAGTAGGCTGCTGATTGTCCCAAATGCAGCCTCTGTCATACAGCATCCTCCAGTGAAGGCCAGTTCAAATCTTCCCCTGGTCTTATTAGCTCCAATTGGTAAAATAAACCCATTTGTATCCTGTACGAGATATCCTGCATATCCTGCATAAGAAGACAAGGGGCTCATACAGTTAGCCAGAAAAAAATCCTCGAGCGTTGGCTCCACACAAGACAACCAAATCGCTCAGTGGTTTTGTTGCCACCTTTCTGCACCGCCCTCCATGGTGTTGGTGTTGCCAACAACTGTCCACCTATTTCTCACTGCCACCACAGGTTGGGGTGATTGACTAAGCCATTGTAGCAAGCAGGAATACCCATGTTTCCACCAGCTCTTGCACACACTCACACCTGCCTTCTATATATGACGTCATAGCTTTGATCCTGACACCACCCCCCATGACTGAGTGTGATCCCTTTGCCAGAAGTGTGCTATCTCTGGTAAGCCACAGCTAGAGTGTATGAGTATAACCAAGTGTGTGACCCCAGTGGTCCTAATAACTACACAACAATAAAAGAGAAGGGACAGGAAAATTCGTTAATATAAATGAAATAATCATTATTGTTTGCATTTTGAAAGCCTTCTCAGATAGAAGCCATGTTAGTTCTAATAAATATCTGTAATATTCTCTAAAAATACCTGAGCTTTAAAATTCTATTAATTTCTTTTTTTAAAAAAATTTTTGTGCCACACTCAGTTATGCTCAGGGCTCCTGGCTCTGGGCTTAAGGATCATTTCTAACTCTATGAGATGCCAGAGATCAAAACAGCAGCACACAAGGTAACTGCCTTATCGACTGTACTTTCCAACCTTGTTTTCAAATTCTTCAGTTTAGATTTTCGACAACTTTGCCAGGTACAACATTACGCATTGGTGAAGTTTTACTTTTGAGATGAAAACTTCTATCATATAGTAATTAAAAATGCTTCACAATGATAACAGACCTCAAAGTAGCAAAATATAAAAGAAATGTGAAAAAAACTTTATGACCAAGTCAGCAGAACACCTGGTGGTGCTTAGGTCTGACAGTGTCTCAGGAATATGAGGTATCTGGATGCCTCTAGGCCTTGCTAGCCATTAGTTCTACATTTGAGCTGTCTCTCAGACAACAAAATATTACTTTTTAAATATTAATCTCAAGTAAAGGATCCAGAGTTCTCTGATGAAATGGCTGCTTCAAAGGATAGGGACATAGAGAATTCAAGTATGGAATGTCTTTTATCACAGAAATTTAGAAAAATTTTACATGATGTAGTCATATCAAAAGAACAGAGAAACTGACTTGAGGAGATTGCAGCTGGCCAAATTTTGAACATGAAAATAATTTTGAACATGAAAATAATTTTGAACATGAAAATAATTATAGCAAATTATGGTTCATTGAATAAAACAGAAAAATTAATGATTTTTTATACTTGGATAAATGCTAATAAATGTAATCTTTGGGTCATATGAAAGCTTTATTCTATTTTTTTGACAATTCTTCATACTTTTTTTTGCTTTTTTGGGTCACACCCAGCAATGCACTATGCACAGGGGTTACTCCTGGCGGTGCTCAAGGGACCATATGGGAGCTGGGAATTGAACCCAAGTTGGCTGCATACAAGGCAAAAGCCCTGCCCACTGTGCTATCACTCTAGCCCCCTCTTCATACTTTTTTTCAGAGAAGCTGAACCAGAGAACATGTTTACCAGCATCAAATGAAGGTTCTTTCTGGCTACACTCCTGTAAACACTGATTGTTTCCAATTTTTTAAATATATATCATTTTCTCTTATGTGAGATGACATATCATTGCCATTTTGTTTTTTAATTTCTCAAGAAGTGTTGAGAACTACTTTTTTCATATATCCACTGACTATCCTCTTTATGAAAGTTTCTAATCATCTGCTCTATGCATAGTTTTTTGTTGTTGAGATTTTTCTATGCTTTATATATCTTGGATGGATCAAAATAATTAACATTGCTAGAATGACTATCCTAACCAAAGATGTATAGAGATTCAAGGGAATTCATCAAAATCAGAATTCATCAAAATTCTGATGGCATTCTTTTTTGTAACTGAAAATATTTTAAAAAATTAAACATTGTGGTTTACAAAGTTGTTTCTAATACACTTGTGATGGGCTTTAAATTTTTTTTATTAAAGAACTGTGATTTACAAAGTTATTGATGGTTGAGTTTTAGGTATATAATATTTCAATACTAGCCCCACCACTATTGTTAACTTCCCTCCACTAGTGTTCCATTATTCCTGCCTTCAACTTGACAAGCACATTACAAAGTTTCAGTGGTCACAGCTTAAATATCATGTTTTCAGTTTTGTTGGGTCTATGCTTTGGAAATATGGCTGTACCACACCCATATTACCAGAATAACTGAGGCTCTGATGTCTCTTCACTATTATGGGCTTTCAGTTTTTCAACAACAATCCCCCCAGGAGAGTGACATTTTCTCCACCATTGTCCCCGTTATCCCTAACAACCCCCTCCCCAGCCTGCCACCTTAGTAGGCTCACAATAATTTATTTTATATTCCTTGTTACAACTGAATGTTTAATGGAATTATCAAAAATACTTCTTTAAAATAAAATTTGTAAAAATTGTTTGATCTCACCATTGAGTCATAAAGTCC